AGATAAACCAGTCGGTCTACATGTTATTTGTGTCCATGATGAAACATGGTAGTGATAGCATCATGATGTGGGATAAATTTCTTTCCAAAAAATTTAAAAAACAATCCACTGGACTTGTTTCCAAGTTTGAAGACGATTTGATTCCCATCCAGGTAGCTTTTTCAATTCAGAATGTCAGAATTAGCTTGAGTTTGAAGCTTTGTATAGTAGCCCAAAAACTTGTTTTGGCTTAGAAAACATGCAAATTTACCCAGAAGAACGGGTCAGCCCCCTAGGAATGGGGAGTGTTTTGGGGTTTTCTGTTAGCCTGCAATACCCGACATTCATTAAACAGTAAAATCAGGAGTCCAGATTTTACTGTTTTATAAATGAGGGGGTAAATGTTGTCTGTAGACTGTTATTACGGTATAAATAGTGTGAGCATGTTGCCCGCAGAAACAGCTGTTAACTAGCTGGTTGGCAGCTGTCAGTATAGACAAGGAGCAGAGCGCACCACTTTTAAAACAGATAGGTAAGTTCTTTATCACAGTCTCATGCTACATACTCGGTGATAGTGGGTGACAGTATGCACCTAGAAGTTAAGTTTGCAATCTGCCATTAAAGGAAAAAACACAGGTTGCAGCTGACCTGTGTTATGGTAAGTGTGTTAATCAGTTCATTTGATTTGGATTGGGCTGCTTATTGTGATAAATATTTGATAATAAAAAGGGATAATAAAAATGGGCTTTGATGGGTTATATTTCTTCATAAGGGACCAGGAAGTTTATCAGAGGTAACAGGAATATGATTGGAGCTATATGTGAAGTAATAAAGTGAAAGCCATTTTTAAGCTTTAATATAAGGCTGTGATGACCTTCCACATAAAGGCATGACTACACAAAAACTGCTTATATCAAACAAAACAGGGAATCAATGAGAATGTTTAAAAATCAACATTCTTTAACGTCAGCTGTTTTTGAGCATTTTTAGTAATTAGAATAAGAAAAAAATTCAGTTTTCTAATGGTAAATGGTAAATGGTAAATGGCATGTACTTATATAGCGCCTTTTATTCAAGTCAGGGAGACTTGACCAAAGCGCTTTTCACACAAATAACAGTGGTTGAGGGGTGGAAACGTCCTGAAAATACATTAACGGGCAGCAAATTCTGAACATAAAGCAAACATAAGAATGAAAATAAAACAGACAAAAAGGAGGCAAAGGAAAAAGCCTGCAAAAAAAAAATTCCAATCCACATTTAAACAGTGCCCCCACATAGAGACACAAAACAGATACAATAAAAGTTAGGAAAAGCTGCAAGCTAGATCCCCATAACACAAGTTTTCCAGTTCCCAAAAAATATTATCAATTCATACAAGACCAGAACTTTAATAAAGAAAACTCACTTTTTCTTTCTTGCTTTTAAATATCCCCTGGATGGGCATCCAGTTTTTGCAATTTATCTGAACCAAGGCGGCCCCAGTTGTGTAGATGATCATCTCTCATATGTGGTCTGGAGCACCTCCATTATTCTTACCCAGTATTGGAGTTTTCTTTTCTTGCAGCCGGTTTTTCCCTTTCCATGCGTTTTGTGTTTGCATGAGCTTGACAGTTCTTCCTTTATCGTCTCCTTCCATTCCTGCTGAAGTGTTCCCTAAATCAGGATGAAATACATTGAGGTTTTGTCACAAAATGTATATAAAGACAAAAGGTGTGAATACTTTTCCAAAGCAATGGAAGTGCAAAAATATAATAGCTTGCAAAACAACCCTTTTCCACTGATATTTCTGTTCTATTTTAGAAGTCAGGTAAATATTCTTTTCACTGTGTTAGAGACGAAAACTTTACGTTGGGCCAGGGACTTGAGAAAGGAACAAGGATTCCTATTCAATAAATCCTAAAACATTTTTTTATTTTATTTTAAGTATTAAGTAACATAATTCACAAAGTAAATCAAATTATATATACTTAAATCTTTATTTTTGTTAATTATGGTGTTTTTCCCCTTATAGCTGATGCAAACACGACATATAACAGTAGACAAGTACATCAGACCACTAAAAAAAACATTTTAATACAAAAAAAAAGGGTTTAGAGAAAGGTATGTTTTAAGGTTCCCTAAATGTTTTAGTTTTAGGTGTTATTTTCAAATTGAATCCAATTACAGTAATATAAAATTTCATAGAATATCCATCCATCCATTTTTCGTTACCTTTATTACGGTCATGAGCGGTGCTGTTGCCAGTAACCATCTGTCTACGGGCGAGAGGCGGGGAACAATGTGGACAGGTCGCCAGTCCATCGCAGTTTGTTGAAAATGTATTTATAAATAAGAAATTGATGCATATTCAGTGCAGTTAAACCAGTACATCTTTAAAAGGATATTTCCATAACCATTTATTTTATTGTTCAGGAAGACAAATCAGTGGCATACTTTCAGTGGGAATCCAAAGGCAAATATTTCATCACTGTGTGATAAAAGTCAGTCTAATCTAATCTTAATAACAGGAGATCAATAAATGAAATTTAATATTAATGCACCTTATCTTTTTTCCATGACCCAAGGCCTAGACTTCAATCTGACAGCTAACTACAACGGGTTCAACACGACCGTGTACAACAGGCAGGGCTGCGGAAGCAGCACCTGTGAAGGAGTGGCAATCCTCAAGGCATTGGATGTAAGTTAGTTAAATGTGTTCAGAGGAAATTGATTTGTTTTTGCCATGAATGCGTTCCTCAAGGTTTCGGTTATTTCCACCGATTTAGGTAAAGCTGTAGATCATCAGACTGGAACTATTTATCTTACTAACATAGGAGAACAGCAGTGATGACTGAATCTGAGGCGCCATCTTCTCATCAACAAGTTCCCTTTTTTTGTTCTACCTTTTATTATACCAAGATTACCTTTTGGCTGGCACAGCTTTATATCTGCTGCTGCCAGAGGAGATGGTTGTCATGGTGCCCAGTCAAAGATCAGCTCCCTGGCCTTATTGCAGGCACATGGTTCATGTTCAAATTGTAGGAGTTCAATAAAAAAGCCCTGCTTCCTCAACAAAAAAGTACATAACATGACGATTATAAAAAATCTGGACGGTAAATATTTTGGTGAAGATTAGCAAGAAGCAAGCAAATCAGGGTTTCCTGATTTTTTTTCAAATTTTTTTAGAAATAAATGTCACACAAAAATAGTATTTTACACGTAATTAGAACCTAATTTTAGATTAGGTGTTTAATTAGATAACTGATTGGAACCCAGCAGGAAACAATGTGGTCAAAGCTCCACTTCTGATGAAACATTACAGCTCCATGCTGGACGCCTTCTTTGGTGTGTTTCAATGATTGTGTAACATAACCACATAAAATGACCCGATCTTTTTTTGACAAATATTGTGGGGTCCAAGTTAAAATGCAGATATTTCAAAAATTGTGGTTATGTTAAAGGGGAGATTATAGGAAATAAGAATTTAAAGATTGTTTTGTGAAATGTTCTCTTTCTATTTGTGGGGGCCCCTGGATAAGGAACCAGCATTCTCTGATTTTATCTGTAAAAAAGAAAAATGTACATACTGGTAAATAATATTTCTACACCTAGCAAAATAGTGCATTGATCTATGAGATCAACGCACTGTATCTGATTTTAAATTCAATATTTCTGTGAAAGTTTGTGCAAATGTTTCTGTTTCTAAACTAAATACAAGTAAAAACAAAACGATGCACCCTAAAATGTTTTGATCGGCAAATATTGACAGGATGGATGTAAAGCAAGATAATTACAGGTGTGGACTTATAAACCAGTTTTTGAAGAATATTTAACTGTTTGTGATGCAATTATGTTTTGCAGCGCATGGGTGAAGTCGGATGTGTTATGCTAGGACCTTCATGTACTTATGCCACCTTCCAATTAGTGGAGTAAGTATGACCTTAATGTTTCTCTAACCAGCATCATCTATTCACCCTGTCTAATTGTTCACCCTCTCTATCTATCCTAGTGATGAGATCGGCTTAACTCTGAGTATTCCCATCATCTCAGCTGGGAGTTTCGGCCTCTCATGCGACTACAAACCCAAACTGACTCGTCTTTTGCCTCCAGCTCGAAAAATCATTGATTTATTCCTGAACTTTATGAACGAGGACCTGGGGTTTAAGTCCAAATGGAAGAAATTTTATGTGTACAAAGAAGGGAGCTCTGCACCTGAAGACTGCTTCTGGTGAGCCAGAGAGAGAGAACGTGAGAATTAAATAGCATCTTTGTTTTTATTTTGTGATCCATCGCCTTTAGCTTTCTGCTTTTCCAAAAAAGGTACATAAACGCACTGGAAGCACCGTCTTCAAGGTTTGCCTCAAATACAGATAGGGTGATGCTGCGGAACATGGATGAGCTAACGAAAGCACTGAAGGACTCAAAACGACACAGCAACAGTGAGTTTTTAAAACTGATTATCGGTTTAAACTACTGTAGTTTAACTTTTAAATATCTAAACTTTTACTACTTAATATAACCCATTTTCTTTTGTATCCCTTTCCCAATAAGGTGATTGGCAGAAGTTCAAGTTTCTGAATTTATGCCATCATTTGTGTGAATGAAAAAGGTCAAATACATGAATAGGCACTATGCAACAAACATACTCTTTAACATTTTTTAAAAAGTGACCATAAAGAATTTGAACATATTTCACCCATTATTTTTTTAAGTCTGCTCATCCATCTTTTCACCAATCAATTTTTTTTGGTCTCATTTGACTTTATGGTTCTCCCCATTTGTGACTCTGAGTTGTTAGTTTTCTGTTATCAATTGTTCTGTTTTATTCTTTGGTTTGTTTTCCATTATATTCAGTCTTTAGTTACTCTCTGTTGCGCCCTTGTGCTTGTTTTTTCCCTCCGTGGATTCCTTCTTATCAGTTTCACTCACACCTGCTCCTTATTCAGCTCATTAGTCCATTCTTTGTTCTGTTCTCCTTAAATACTCCACCTCTGCAGTCACCTTGCTGGTTCCTTGTTGTTATTTCCTCTTCTTTGGCTCCCCAAGTAATTTTTCCCCTGAAGGTTTTTGGTTCCTTATATTTTGCCTTTTGGATGTCTGCCTCAGTTACCAATTAAATCTATCAGAACTCATCTCTGCTTCACTCGTCTCTGCATTTGGGTCCTCAAGCAACCTCACCCATTGTTGACATGCTTCTTCCACATTTGCTGATGATAGGGAAGTTTATTTGAGACTTGTTGATTATCTTTCAGTTCTACCTCTCTTCAATAAAGGCTAGATTTGCAACATGCATTAGAGTCCAGCTAACCAGGCATGAGCCAGATTTATCCATGGAGTTCAATTTGAATTCTACAACGTATAAATCTGAAAGTCTCTTCTAGATATTTTTAGCAGAAGCAACTGACTTTTAGTACAACTTTTCCTGGGTAAATCAAGTGACACATTCCCAAATATTGAACTTTCAGCCAATCACAGCAGCAGTAGCCGCCCTGCTGTATCTCATTCTTGATTTGTTTCACAACTGTTGGAGTTAACTGATAAATCAAACTCTTTCAAAATCTGGTTGGGAGGAATGAGCAGACATCTTCCCATCCACAAAGACCAAACTCACGTCCCTTTAATCCATCCATCTATTTTCTGTCATGCTTATCCCAGGCTAGTCCATCACAGGGCAACACGGAGACAAACAGAGACAAACAACCATTCATGCACGCCATCACTTTAATCATTTAAAAAAATGAAATAGGCAGTATTCCAGCCCTCTTTGTTTTTTGCTTCGCCCTGCCCCTTCTGGTTGATGTATCTACGTCACAGACATCTCTGCATTTCATTGGTCTGAGACATTTCAGTATCGAGGATAATCCGTCTGTTGGCTTTTGCCAAGATATATTTTTAGGAGTTTGTAAATAATCACACAAATCTCATGACAATACATCTCGCTTGCTAGGTAATAGTCTACTGCTAGTTTGTGGATCACTGCAGCTCCTCCAGAGTAACACTTGATAGTAACATCTTTCCTTTTTCTAAAATCAAGCTAGCTTTGTCCTCCCTTCATATTTCAATGTGAATTTATGGAAACGAATTTAACTCAGGGTTTCAATACACATTGGTGTTTGATGTTTTGCAAATTTTTTGACTGTAGAACAAGTGCCTTGACTGGTCAGTGTGACCAGAAATTGGCCTAAAAACTAATATAGCTATCATGCTCGTGGAGATTGTGTTTAGAACTTTCTCTGGTTCTGTGCCTCATCCTTTCTTTTAAAATGTTTATTTCTTTCAGTTTTTATTCTATGTGGAGGCCCAAAGGACATTGAAACAATGAAAAAAAACGTAAAAGGCGAGGTTCACCCAGACACCTTGTTCCTTCTTCTTGATGTTTACAAGTAAGTTCAGACTAATTTTAATGTTTTTCCTTCACACACTCTAATTAGTCCATAAAAACAATATGCCATGCAAGATATTTCATCTAGGGAATCATCTTTCCTGTAATCTAGCCCTGCATATTATGTCAATGAAACATCCCCTCCCTGGATGCGTGATGTCCTTGTAGTTACTCTGCCACAAAGGAACTACGCCTATAGATCAAACTCATCATACAACGACACGGTGAGCTGCCCCAAATATCTAAATATGACCAGGGATTAAAACTCGTTTTAAAATAGTGTTGAATAATCTTTTTTTTTATTCATTAAATGTCATGAGCAGATAAATGACTACGTGGCTGGATATCATGATGGAGCTCTGCTCTTGGGCAAAGTTCTGAGAGAAAGGATGCTTGATAATCGACTTAGTAAGGCCTCTGTAGATGTGCCACTGAGTTATAACCCTTTTGGAAATGTCACTTTTGAAGGTGAGTATGATCTGTATTATAGGGGATCCGGTTACAACTTAAAATTATATTGACAAACAGCAAGCAACTTCAAGACAGGATTAAAAGTAAATATTTACTCTAAGCTACACACTATTGATCGAACATATAATAGCTACAAGGCAGCAAATACTGAAAGCATCCATGATCAAAACTGATTTAAAATGTAACATTTATCAGGAACTTATCAGTTGTTAGAGGCTGAATGGCAAATTGCTTTATGGCCTACTTCTGAATTTCAGGGCCAATCTTTGATCTACAAGGGCATAGTGAAGGGGATAGAGATTCAAACATTAGACAACCTTGCAATCATCCAACTTCAACTACATACAGTAGAACTAGGGTAAAGTCTTCCTTAAGGTTCGATTCATGCCTTTTCAGCTATCATAGACCCATCCTGGTCATCTTCTGAGACCCTCTTTTATGCTGGTGATACGAGCTTTGATCGAACAGAAACACATTCGCCAGAAAACATCAGTCTGTGCAGATTATGAGCTTGGTAGGACGAGTCTTTTAAGGATGTTTGCAGGTCTTCTGATGCATCTAGAATTCTCTGTCTCCTGTCATGAAGTTCACCTGGTGATCTCTTGTGTTGCATTTATGACCGTTCGAAAGGCCAGTTTATCTACTGATGTGCTCCCAGCATACAACTACAACATACAGTAGATAATAAACTCTAGATAGTAACATGATAGAAGGGCATCAGCAGGTTGTACTGAAAAACTTGTAGAATGTGTGAACCCAACTTGGGATTCCAAATCATTGCCTGTTTATTCCCAGACCATGACGAGTTATTTTAGATGAAAACTCCCTGGAATTGGTAGGAGGTCCCAGTCACTCAGTGAGGTATGAAGAAGGACATCCTAGGTCGATCAATTGTTTCAGTAAATGGACTAATAGAGATCTATAGTAATTTTTGAAGTGGACGAAAAACCCATTTAAATCTGCTTACTATCAGCTTTTAATGGCAGTGGGAACGGGTAACAAACCCCCCATCAACCTGTGTCTAACGACTTGGCAGGCAACCTGGGTTAAAATTGTCTTTAGCTCCAATCTGCATGCAGTGGGAACATTAGGGTGAAAAATTAACGTGATGAAATTAAGCACAACACACATACTTCACAACACTGCGTCAGATATAACAAGCAAAAAACAACTCTGGTTGATTTGATAAACATGGATCACTGGAAGGACAGAGAGCTTGTTGAGCTTCTTATGATTAATGGAGAAGATGAGATTCAGTGCCAAGTTTCAGGCACCGTTCCAGACACCAGTTATTAAAAGAAACATTAAACATTACAGGTATTTTATTAAAGCTGCGAGGTTACGACTGCATGCCAAGGCAGGTAATCAACAAGATTGCAACACGTTGCTCTCCATTGTTTTTTCTTTTCCTGATTTCTGCCACACTGATGACATCTTTAACACTAACCCAGCATGATGGCATCACCAGACATACAGAGGCCATGCGGCATGCTAGCTGGGATGTCAAACCCAGCTTTTTTGTCAGAGGGAAGAAGCCAAATGCCAATTAGTGGGTCAACCTGCCTTTGAAAAACCCATGTTAACCCATTGATTTCAAAGGGAAAGCAGCTTTATACTGCTGCTTCCAGATCATTTTGAGTTTATGATGACAAACTTGATGCCATTAAATGCAATAACTTAGGTGAGGGATGTATTGAATACATTTTGAAAATCTCTACCAACTCATCCCCACATGACACCTTGACTCTACAGTGTATCCCGCGAGGCTCTGCAGCGTCTCTAAGGTTCACAAGAAAAAGTGTAACCGACCTTTTAACATGAAAAAAATCATAAACTTCACCAGTTTGGCTTTATGACCTACGTTTTTTATTTATTAATGCATTAATAGACCATAAACGTAGCCTTAATCTGTAATAAAGTTTATCACTCAGTTGTGATAATGAAACTCCTTTACAAATCTGTCTATTTAAACTCTGCAGTCTTTCTGCAATGTTGATGTCAATGATAATTATATAATTAACCCATCCAAACCAAGTAAGTAACCACTCTCTAAGCTAACAAATGGAGGCAAAAACTGCTATCTAGTTTTTAAAATAATTGGCAGAGCCATGGATATAAATGATCCATGAAATTAAACTTTAATCTGAATTTTAATCAGCATCTGAACCAGATTTTGGTGCAAACTTATTTAGATTTTGGTTTATGTTAAGTTTTTCATGTGTCTTTGCTGGTATATAGTATTTTTATTGCAGTACATGTATGTATTGTCGGATGCAGGTATGGGAGGAACGTATGTTCTTGATGAGTACGGGGACAGAGATGTGAACTTCACTTTCATTTACACAACAAAAGACACTTTAAAGGTGAGGTTTCTGTTCATTTCACCGTCAGCACAGCCAAAACAAGGGTTTTCATTTCATATTCTCTTCTTCTACAGTATGAAGTTCTGCTAGTGTTTGATACAACGCAGAATAAAACCATTGACACGCACCCAAACCCTGCACTGGGCTGGACTGGGAAACTCCCGAGCGATGAACCTCATAATTCAAATGGTAATAAACATTAAATTCCTAAAGCGGAATTTTATTTTTTTGTCATGATTTTCATAAATAGTACAGCTTGTTGGATCCGTAGGAACATTATGAGCAATTAATGTCTAAAGTGCAAATTACAGTTTCCATGGGAGACCAAAGCTGTTATTCAGAGGAGAGTCTGTTTTAAAGTCTTTCAAGTCAGTTCCTTTCAACAATTTAGACAAATTATTGTGTCTTTTTTTTGCAGGATAAGGTCTGTGTTACCCAGATTAGACTGGGGGAAAACTGATTATGAAAGCATCATCTTGTTTTAGATCAGGCTTGTCCAAAGTGGATCCTCGAGGGTCGCTGTCTTGCAGGTTTTAGAGGTTTCCTTCTCCAGCACAGCTGCATTTCATTGATTGCTGATTAACAGTTTTTTTTATTGAACTGCAATCATCAGAATCAGGTGTGCTAAAGCAGATTAACTGTTTTTTTGTTGAACTGCAATCATCAGGTGTGCTAAAGCAGGGAAACATCTAAAACCTTCAGGATAGTGGCCCCACTTTTTGCATATTATATTGTTAAAGTCCAAGCATATTTTGAACTAAACCAAATAACAACAATGTACCATTTAGAACAGTATTTGAGTTTTGGAATCACTGAGATCAGAGCTAAATCTGAACATTTCTTGGCTCGCTTGATTTGAACTGCAGACAAAATATATTCTCACAGTCTAACAGACAGAGAGCACATCTGAAAGCTGGAGGAGACAACCATCTACAAAAAAAGATTTGGGTTACTGACAGAAAAAAGCAGACTATGTCAAAAGAAAATACATTAAAAGACACTTCAACAATGCATAGTGTTAAAGTCTGAACTCTCAACTTTATTGTCATTACACTGTTACAAGTACAAAGCAAAGGAAATTATCTCTCTGAATTTAATTAATGTCCTTGGGGAGCGTCGGGCTGCCCATTTTGTGGCACCAGTGGAGCAGTGTGGGGTTAAGGGTCTTGCTCAGGGACCCAGAGTTGCAGTTTGTGGGGGCGGGGCTTGAGCTCAGATCCAAGCACAAAGCCCTAACCACTACGCCACCACTCCCCCTATACAACATACAATGAAATAATGGTGATTAATTTCCATTATTCCTTTTATATTTCCCCACTGAAATGTCCTTCTCCACTTGAATCCATCTAGAAGTGCTATACAGGGTATAAATATTTATTTACATGTGTACAGAGACTCTGTATGTATGGACTATAAATGTTATGTCAGCTGCTGTAAAGCTCTACTGTAATCAATGTGTTGTGTTTGCAGACTTGGATACCCAGGATGTGATTGTGATTGTTTTGGCTGTTAGTGTCGTGGTGGTGACAGCCATCGCCCTCATCTTCTACAGGTAAACACGACAAACTTTTAACAGTGACAGTTATACCCTTCATGCTTCTCTTTCTGCCAGCATATAAGTATTTAAAATGCAGGAAATTATATGGAATTTAAACTAGAAAGAAGTGCAGTGTAGTTTCGCTGAGAGCATGTAAAAGAGTCTCCTTCCTTATTTACTTTAAACGGGTTGGAGCAATCACAAACTAAAGACAGGTAAGTTAAATTCTTTTAATTAGGAACTTATATGCTTTCCTGATTTTTAATGCCGCTCTGAGTAACTACTAATAAGCCTGAAAGAGGAGAAGCAGAAACTCCACAGCTACAATTTAAGATGATTTTTATAAAGACTTTTTATGATTGCATTCCACTTGACTTATTTAAGTAATCTGCTCTATTTGTGTTCAATGACTGTAAACGCTGCCAGACAGAACAGGAAGGAGCGTCTAATGCAGAGGAAGTGGTCCCACATCGATGCACACCTGATTGGACCTCTTGATGAGAAAGAGGTCTCTCTGAAGGTCAGAGCTGTCATTGATTAACATGCTGTACAATATTGTTTTTTTAATAAGATTAAAAGAGACAATATAACAGCAGAAAATCAAAGTTGGATCATGGAATAAAACCCAGTGTCAATTTGCTCTTTATTCCTAAAAAATAAATAATCGAAAATTCAAAATGCAATTTTGTAGTGTTTTTGAGCCCAATGAGAACAGTTGAAAATAAGCCACATTTTTACTCCTGTCTGAATGTAGCACAATCGGTGTCTGCAGCTTGCAGCTCATGTATCACTGCCACATACAGGAATCAGTGCAAATATGATTTACCTGTTCACTGTGGTTTTAATAGTGCTGTAATAATGTCTTTCTTTTGTTAATCTGTTCATCTTATGCTGTTTATTTAAAGGATTTTAAGAAAATATTCATGATTAACAACTTAATGAGGCAAAACTAAAAACTTACGTTAAGTTTTAACATTCAGATTAACAATATATATATTTTTTAATGGAGCTATTACAGATAGATGGAGTGCTGAAGATATTCTGGGTTAAAAAGTTATGAACACCCTTTGAACTTCATATCTAAAGCCTGCTTGAATGAGGCTTTAGAGTGAGCTACAGTATGTGGAAGGAAAATGACATGTTTGTGTTTGTGGGACAGATCGATGACGATAAGAGGAAGGATAGCACATACTTCAGACAGCGAGGCTGCTACGACAAGAAGGTACCTTTGTTCCTGCTCCCAAAAATCAATAACAGAGCACAGACATTCAGAGTGATAACCAAGTTCAGCTGGTTTACTATGTATGTTAATTACCCCCCACCCCACGCCACACACACAGCCTGTGATCCTGAAAGAGCTGAAACATGCAGATGGGGATTTCACAAAGGAACAGAAAATTGAGCTCAACACTGTGAGACGCTTTGTATTTTATTTCCAATAAACTCCAGCTGTAGTATTTACATGGATGGTTTATATTTATGTATATTCTGCTCTTCCACACCTTTTTCTTGCAGCTGCTGCGGATTGATTACTACAATCTAACCAAATTTTACGGCACTGTGAAGTTTGAGTACGGGCTCTTTGGGGTGTTTGAGCTTTGCCAGAGGGGGTCCCTTAGGGTAAGATCAGACCTCAATGTGTCTCTGTTTGAGCTTTTTAATCCAGCTGCTGTCTGTCCCATGGTTTGCTTGTTTTCTAATGCAGGACTGGTTATCCAAACCTAAAATACACAATCAACATCATTTTTTCAGAGTAAATAATGTAAAAGTAAAAATGTAAAAGAGATATAAAATACCTTACAATAAATATGTCTATGCTGACATTTCAGAGTTATGATCTTTTATTTTCAATTCAAAAATAGGGATTATGTTCTGCAGGTAAAGATTAATTTATGTTATTATTTTTTAATTTATTTTAACCCTTTATAGGGCACTCAGTAAATACTTTGAAAATCTAAATTTTAAGCCAATAGTGTTATTGGAACATTAAAAAAAATATGTTTATTGCAAAAATGAATGTCAATATAATAACAAGAAACGTCAACCTGCCCAAATATATTAAAAAAACAAAACAAAAGTGCTTCTATAAGAAATTAATGAAAAACAGAGTGAAAGAAACATTTTTATTGGCACAACATAATCTTAGAGGCATTATTGCTGATACTGGCACTCCCATTTTTTAGATTATAAACCTAAATATAATTGTTAACCAGGCTTATTAACTTTTAACCTTACTTTTTAACTTTTCAGTTAGCTTTTTACCTTTTTTTTCTTGACTTAACTTTTTTTTCCAACTTAATTTACAATAGGAAATGTATAATTCAAGGGCTGATGTATTTGTTCAAATGCCCAAATGAGATGCACAGCCATGTAGCAGTATCTTTGCTGAATGGCTGGATATAGATCTTGGGCTTCTAGGCCTCACTGAGGAATGGGGGAGACTCAATTTTTAAGGGAATGTAAATGATCAAACACAGTAACTAAAGGATTAATATTTTACTAAGATGGCCACCTAATTTAGCCTATTTTCTGCATATTTGACCACATCCACCTAGCAATCGAATTAAATTCTAATTTTATGATGGGATTGTTCACTATCTACTCTTAATGTCAAAAAAGCAATGCAGCAACCATTATTTCTATCAAATAGTCGCTCCGATTTCCTTTTATGAATCTTGACACAGAAGCTGTTGATGACAAATCTCAGTAGTCCTTTTTTTCACACTGCCCCTAATGACTCTACTGTCTTCTTGATGATTTATGACACACTGTTTACAGAGCACTAATAGCGCACGCGTAAATGTACATAATCTTATGTTTGCACACAGGAACAGACACATAAAGAGTGTCTGTTAAGTGTTCCACTTTTCCATACCACTAATAAAGCAGAGCGATCAAATCCATAAGATATTAATGTAATTTGCTTTTTCCTCTCTCTCTCTCTCCTTTTTTCTTTATTTAGTATATTCTCAGTGACAGGATATCCTACCCAGATGAAACCTTCTTGGATATGGAGTTTAAGATATCAGTCATGTACGACATAGCAAAGGTAACTTTGTTATAATTGCAACTTTAAAAAAGGCTATTGTATCATTAATTTGAATCTTTTATTTTTTCACGTTAAAGTAACACCTTGGAGGGTATAAAATACTTTGCACTTTTTTCACATTGTGTTACATTTTAACCTTTAAGTTTCACCTTTATCTTATCTGCATTTAATGGGAGACATAAAGGCAAAGTAGCGCAAGCGCCAAATTTTTCCATTTCTGTAACTTCTGCTCCTGCTAAAGAAAAGCCTCCCCTTAGCATGCTGCAGCCAACACTGTGCTCGGTTGTGGCGATATTACATTCAGCTTTATTGTTTGCTGCATTCTTTTGTCTTTGTGATGCTATTTATTTTTTTACTTTGTCAAACAAACATTTTAAGACTTAACAGAACGTCTGGATTTTGTTTTGAATACACTCTGTATACAGAATGATAATAAAAGTTGTCTAACTCTCAGTCTAAGGATTTATGATGAAATTAAATCAAACACAGGTCGACCCTACTAACCAGCTGGGTGACTTCTTAATGGTTTATTTGCTCTTTATTCATGAGTATAAAAGTAAAATGGTCTAAAAATGATGAGCTATACACATTTTTTTGCATTTCACTGCAGCTAAAACATATAATTCAAATATTAGATGTTAAGGTTTGGGGAAATAAGGTGTCAAAAAGTGAAAAATATTTATTAATGCTTGTAGCGAAGCTCTGTAACAATATATGGCAACTCTTTTTAACATCCATCCTTTAAATGCTTTGCTCTAAACTGTCTCCAAAGGGCATGTCGTACCTCCACTCCAGTAATATTGCAGTCCACGGTCGCCTCAAGTCCACCAACTGTGTGGTCGATAACCGCATGGTGGTCAAGATCACAGACTTTGGCTGCCACTCCATTCTAATGCCAGGCAGAGGTGATTATTCCCAGGGATGATCACGCATCCTACAGTAAAGCTGGGATGATGAGGAGACACTGAGCGTCTGTTTATCTCTCCTGTCCAGATCTGTGGACAGCTCCGGAACATCTCCGTAAACAGGGTGTGTCACAGAAAGGTGATGTTTACAGCTACGGCATCATCGCACATGAGATCGTCCTGAGGCAGACCCCGTTCTATACCAGGTGCTGCTCCAACACTGCAGGTACACCATCGCTAAAAGGCTCCTGACAAGTGAAAGAGAAACATCAACTGTCTCTTTATTTGAGAAAATACTTAATTCAACTTTTTTTTCTTCAAACCTTTTATCATCATTTATTATCCTGTTCAGAGAAAATGCACAGAGTACAGTATCCAAGAGGTAACTTCTTCTTCAGACCTGACCTCTGCTTTGAGGGTGCATCTGACAGAGAAATCGAGGTAAATAAGCTATAACACTGACATACTGGTATTTCATATATCTATTTATATATATATATGTATATATATATATATATATATCACGAAATGATCCATCGCTTGGCAAGATCATAAGTACCTCATTCATTAGAATATTTTTGTAGAGGTCAAAACTAATACGAGCTTCACTATGAAGTTTTTTTTGGGTATTCAATTTTCTGGAATGAAAGAATTAGTTTAATTCAGTTTAGATTTTCTTTCTATACATTATATTTAGGATTTGGCCTTGTCTGGGTCAATCCAGTACTTGAATAAGCTTTGATCTAGCCCATTTTTATCATGTCTCTGACTGCTTCACATTTTCCTGTTCAAAGGTAGACCTGCACCTCAGCTTCAACTATTTTTAGCCTTTAATAGGTTTTTAGCTCCATTCATTTTTCTACTATCAACCAACTTCCTTACTCCTACTAAAGGAAACCATCCCCACAGCATCATACTGCCACCGCTACTGTTTTTGCATTTTGGACAAACAAAGAGACATTTTAGGTTAATCTGACCAGAGAACCTTGTTGTACGTGTTTGGGGATAATCTTTAGTGACAAGCTTCAAATAGGCTTATTTTTAAGGTTTATTTTTATAGCAAAAGTCAGTAGAGAGACAACTCAAAGTGCTTTATATGACTTAAAATTTAAAGTAGAAGTAAAATAAAAGCATAATAACATGATAAAAGCAGGTAGAGAAGTAAATAAAACATTTTTGTCATCTGGTGTGAGCAGAACCAATTGCAGCTGAATATGGCAAAGCCCAAGGAACTGGTGGTGGATCTAAAAAGAAATAAGTTCCCAGTGACCCCTGTTTCTATCTGTGGGGTCAACGTAGACACTGGGAAGGATTATAAATATTTAGGGGTGCACTTGGACAATAAACTGGACTAAAAACACAATGTATCTGCAGGCAGGGCCAGAGCCGTCTCTATTCTCTGAGGTGAATGAGGTTCTTCAACATCTGCTGGACAATGCTGCAGATGTTTTATGGGTCTGTGGTGGCCAGTGCCATCCTTTAAGCTTTTGCATGCTGGGGCAGCAGACTGATGCCAACAGACTTAACAAACTCATCTGCAAGGCCAGTCACATTGTTGGAGAGGAGCTTAAATCTCTGACAGTGTCAGAGAAGAGAATGTTGGCCAGGATAAAATCCATGCTTCATGATGTGCTGGTCGCCCACAGAAGCATCTTCAGTCAGAGACTCATTCCATAATGCTGCATCACATGATGTTATTTTATGCATGCGGTCATAAAACTGTATAATTAATCTCTCTGACAGTCATTTCATTCATTACTTATATTTTATTTATTTCATTACATTACTATATGTACTGTAATAGCATGGTCAGGTGCAATAATTGTAATTTTGTACAGAGCAGCATTTGAAATTGTAAATACTGTTGGTTGTATATACTGTGATACTTATCTTATTCTTATCCTTTTTTTTCATAACTTATTTGTACTTATATAATTCTCTCTTAAGTAAATGGCTGCACTGCAAGAAAACTTTTTTCCCGCAATCACAAATAAAGTAATTCTGATTCTGAAAACAGTTTGATCACAACCTTAAACTAATAATCCCTCAGTTAGCAGCTTAACCTCAACAATCAACTGCAGCTCTGGACATTTTTAAGTTTGACTCAAAAGAACTCAGGCTTTTAGCACTTTTATAGCCTTCTGGAACTTTGTTCCAGATAAGTGGGGCATAGGAACCAAATGCTGCTTCTCCATGTTTGGTTCTAGTTCTGGGTGGACCAAGTAGACTGGAACTAGAAGACCTGAGTGGTCTGGGAGGTTGATACACTGACAACAAAACTATTTATAGAACTATTTATATCTAATTATGTATTGAGATGCTGATCCATTCAGTGAGTTATAGACTAACAGAAGGATTTCCAAGTCTAATCTCTGAGCTACAGGGAGCCAGTGGAAGGACTTCAGAGCTGGCTGATGTGCTCTACTTTCTTAGTGCTAGTGAGAACATAGGCAGCAGTATTTTGGATCACCTGCAGCTGTCTGGACTTTTTAGGCAAACCTATGAAGACACTGTTGCAGTAATCAATACTACTAAATATAAATGCTTGGATTACTATTTCTAGATCCTGATTGAACATTAATCCATTAATCCTGGAAATGTTCCAGGTGATAAAAGGCAGACTTAGTAACTGCCCTTATATGATTCTGAAGGTTCAGGTCTGAGTCCATCATGACACCAAGATTTTAGCCAAATCAGTGGGTTCCAGCCTTTCTCCGTTTCTCAGCATCTAACCAACACTCTGATGGGTTCATAGACAGCTGCTGATATTGTGGTGTAGATATTCCTATGGGTTTCCTCTTATAGTGAATGAAGTTCCATGCTCTCCTTCAGAGGGGATCCTTTTCATAATAAGACTTTATTGAATAATTAGGAGATATTTGAAAAAGTCTATTTTCACTGTAATTTATTTAATAGTATCAAAGTAAACTAAACACCTTTAAACTTCCTTCAGCTTCATAATTATTTGCTATCGCTTGTTGGGCTATTATATAAAAATCCTAACGAAATAAATAGAGATGCGTGGGTGTAATGTGACAAAGGTTCAAAGGTATTTATAATCTTGCCAGGTATTGTAAATGTTATAAAAACAGACTATCTCTATCAGTTACAGCTAAATAATTGACCCATCTCCTATTTTTTGACTCCTATGTGCAAACAGCTTTACACACTGATAAAGAACTGCTGGGATGAAGACCCTGAGCGAAGGCCAGATTTCAAGAAGATAGAGTTAACGCTTGGAAAGATTTTCAGGTACATCAACACGTCTTATAATGCACCTTTTATATAACTTCTAAATACATAAATACATAAATAACTTCTGAACTTCACGTTCAGAAATTATTTATGTATTTTTTTTTATGGTCATTATGAAATTATCATTTTGTTTTTCGCTCCACAGTAATTTGCACAATCAAGCTACTGAAACATACATGGACAATCTGATCCGTCGTCTGCAGATGTACTCCAGGACTTTGGAGTGTTTGGTTGAGGAGAGAACGGCTCTGTACAAAGCTGAGAGGGACAGAGCGGATCGCCTCAACTTCATGCTGCTGCCTGGGTTTGTTCATTTATCAATAAAACCATCAGTTGAATAAATAAAAGCAGGTTTCAAACGGTTTCAAAGCTTCAAAAACTTACTTTTTGTTACATTTGCTATTATTTACTTTGACTCATATTACTTGGAGATGAAAGAAAGTATCTATGCTACTACAAGAGGTGGTAAGATTAATCAAAAATTGTACTCAAGTAAGAGTAGCATTACTTTTTGTATTTTTACTCCATTAATAGTATAACGCAGCTATCTAAGAAATTACTAAAATAAGACAAAAAAAGTATTTGGTGAAAAAGGCTCCTCAAGTACCAGTTAAAAATCTATACTAACTAATGATTGCTTTTAAAGATATGAAATTTTAAAAATATTGTAAAGTTATGCAGCATATAAATTTATATGTAAATTCCATTAAATGAGATAAATAGAAAATAAAAATATAAAGTAAAGTAATAATACAAAGATAAGATTTTAGATGATAGAAACATATATTATTTATGCATATAGTTTAGAATAGTAAACAATGCTTTATTTTCTCTTGACCTCTAAATAAGACAGCAACGTCAGCAGAGAGAAAATAATATTAAAACATAAACTGTGGTTCTCTCTGATGCATCTTTGTTTAAAACTTGCTTGTTTTTCACTGAGCAAAGTGACATATGGTGTTTGGAACAGCCAGAAATGTTCATATTATTTAGAATAGTTTTAACTCTAGTAAAAGTAAAAAGTAAAATGCCGCTTTTTAAAAAAACTCAAATAACTCTAGCTATTTGCTAACCACTACTGGTTAACACTCAGAATTCACAAATATTTCTGTACAGTGAAACTTTCCGTTAATAAAATCGCAGCAGCTGTTGCTTGATCATATGATTTAATGACTGATCTTAGATCAGATCAATTGACTAATTTAGCAGTATTATCCTAAACTGTAGATTTTTGGTCACTTTGGTCACTTCCTCCCTATTATAAAAACCTATAAAAGCACCAGTCAAGCTTGAATGTGAATGTCATAATGTATGTTTTCCTTTCCCTGTGTTCCCCTAGTCCTGTGGTGCGCTCTCTGAAGGAAACGGGCAGAGTGGAGCCCGAGCTGTTTGAGGAAGTGACCATCTATTTCAGTGACATAGTGGGCTTCACCACCCTCTGCCACTACAGCACCCCCATGGAGGTGGTAGACATGCTGAATGAGATCTACAAGAACTTTGATAGCATTCTGGATCACCACGATGTATACAAGGTATCTCAGGGTAACTAGAAGAGCTTAATGAAGGTACCAGCTTAGGTGGAAGCTTATATGTTCCTGCTCCTGCTTGCTGTACCTCTGTTAGTCACAGGCTTTCTAAGATGATAAGGTCTAAATCAAATTAGCAGCACAGCCTGATTTATTAATAGTTGTCATGTTGGTTGAGTGAAATTTTCCGTTTTTCTTAGGTTGAGACCATAGGGGACGCCTACATGGTTGCATCAGGGTTGCCGAACCGAAATGGAAACAGGCATGCAGTAGACATCGCTCACATGGCCCTAGACATCCTGTCATTTGTGGGGACTTTTGAGCTCCAGCATCTGCCAGGGATTCCTCTGTGGATCCGCATCGGAGTACATTCAGGTACTAAATATTCTTGACTTCCTCCAACCCACTGAGCTAAACTAACTGCCTACAACAACTACAACTGTTGTTCCTTTAGAACAGGAGTCTCTTAGTTCTGGTTCCTTCTTCCTCATTGCAACTTATACCTCACAGCTAAATGTGTTCCCTGCATTAAACTATCCCGCTGAAGAGCAGTGGGATGGCTCTGTGCTGCACCCAGGGTGCATTCTGGGGCTAAAGGTCCTATTCGGGACTCTGAGTGGAAGAACAGTCAGTGAGTGACACTGAGAACACTGGAGTTTGGTAAAAAGAGCAAAAAATGGCACACGAGTAAAACAAGCACACAATTCTGACAGAAGCAATTATACAAACTAATGTTAAAACAGTGGTCTGGTTCTGACTTCTTACACTGTAATGTAAACTAATCATGGGTGTGTTCCGAATTGTTATCACCAAAAAGATACTTTAGTACCTCATAGCATTCTGACATATCAAAGGCTTCAGGATCATAAAATATTTGTTGAAGCCTCAGGACTCCTATTATGTGGCTTAATCTAATAGTCCAGTGATAGGCTTTGATGAAAGCAGTTAAAGGTGTGTGAAGGATCTAATTTGGGATGTTCTATTCACAGCTGGCTTATCAACGTATCTCCATTGTAATTGATTCTATAAAAAGCTAAAGATAATACCATTTGACAGACATAAAAATGATTGTAGCAACAAAAATATGATTCCAAAACATGTATAAACCTAATGGCTGGCACACACCAGATGATCAACTAAAGGAGGCGTTCTTGTGAAAAACATTTGCTGCTTTGTTCTCTGTTATAAAACACTTTCTCTGTTTTTCTGCTTCATATGTTATTGTGCTGTCAATACTTAAAGTTTTTTATTTTGCCATTACTCAAAGTTCCTCATTCACTTAGGCCCAAAAAAAGAGGCTCTAAACTTTTTCAAATCATTATAAGAATGTCCGGTTTGTATTGTTGTTATTAGATTAATATAATAATTCGGTTTCCTCTCTGGGAAGTTGCTGACATCTGCTGGCTGAATATAACATGTTTTATAATCACAACCGGAATGAGTATAAGAAGAAACTAGCAGAGAAAATGTCTCATTATATAATCCAGCAGAAAAACACAGATATAGCTGCAACTAATCCAACAGAATGTGCTCCTGAGATTAGTTGATTGTTTAAATATAATACATGACTATTACCAGTTAATAGAAGTTGCTGAATGAGCTTTAAAGTCATGATATCTTCCTGCAAAATTAAACTTTTGAAAATGAAAAATGACTGAGATTCTTTGTAGAAAAAATGTGGTAGACCTTATAGGCACTTCTTCCAGATCTGGATTTTTTTTTACATTCCAATCTGGATAATGAAGAAAAACACTAAATAAAAAGAAAGGAAGCGGTGTTGATGGAGGGATAAGTCCACGATTCAACGGTCCTGAGTTTGAATCCCAGCCTGTTGACCTTTGCTGCATGTTTTCCCCCTCTTTCTTTATTTCTTCAAATAACACTCATTAATGCAAAAAAAATAAACAAATAAGAAAGCCTTGGAATTATAAAGTGTCCATAAGTAACGTTTAAAAACACTTAAAGGTATAATGGAGGATTTTTGCAAATTTTTGAAAAGACACGCCGTCTCCACTTAAAAAAAAAAAAAAAGAAGCCTGCTCCTGAGAGGGAACACCCATTAAACACGTCTGTTTAACAGTACAAGCTTACTTTGCAAAAGAAGGTTTGCAATTTTTCCGCTATGTCAGACTCACCATCGGTAAGTGAAAATGGGGATGAGCACGTAGGACGGCCTTACGTAAACATATCACCAGGATGATATACTGTACAATTAGGAGGACCATTTATTATGATGATCCATCTATAAAAATCACATCCTCCACTATACCTTTTAAAAGATGAAATAATGATTGGAAATGAGTGACTGAACAATGAGAAACAGTTGAAATTCAAATGCAGGTGCAGTTGGCTGATGATTTTTGCAGTTAGTAGAGCTGGAACCAAGGTGAATCTAAAAGTAAACAGCTTCTGACCCACCTGCTGGGGCCTCTCTTCCTTTCCTAGGCTGCTTTCTGTCATTAGGCCCTAGAGTGTTTCTGTGTTTAATTCTTCACTTCTTCCCTAAGCTTCCCTGATCTTAAAACAGATTATCAGAAAATCCTACCTCTGTTTATATATCAAATCTTGGATTAGTATCATCTTAACAACTCTGAACCTTTTACCTGCCACCACGCCTCAATGATAAGTTCAACATAAATAAATAGCTTGTTTATTTGGGTCCAGGTCCTTGTGCGGCCGGAGTGGTTGGAAATAAGATGCCTCGCTACTGTCTGTTTGGGGACACGGTAAACACTGCTTCTCGCATGGAGTCTACAGGCCTGCGTAAGACCAAACACACAAGAAAATATCCTGCAGTGGAATTCCAGATGAAGCTTCCAGTTTCAGAGAGAAACAGGACTCTAAACCTGATGACAGGTTTTCTTTTTCTCTTCCAGCTTTGAGGATTCATGTGAGCCAGCCTACAATCAACATCCTGCAGAGGACAGACTGCAAGTTTGAGTATGAAAAAAGAGGCGAGACATACCTGAAGGTGAGGGGATGTTCTTCTTTTATGGCAGGTCCACAATGGGAACCAAGGATTGGATGAAAACTGGTGGCTTGTTTTGGGTTTACTAATTCACAGGGAAAAGGCAAAGAGATGACCTACTGGTTAACTGGTGTGACAGGAGGAAAACACAACCTTCCCGTCCCACCAACAGCGTGAGTCAAGTCTCATTTTAAAGCATAAAAATCATTCATAAAAGTGACAAGAATGTGATCCACAATGATCTCAATGTTTCTGTCAGGGAGAATTTCCAGCGGCTTCAACAGGAACTGGCAGACATGATCGTATCCAGTCTGGAGAAACACCGAGCTGGAAAAGAGGGCTTTGAAAAGAGGAAGACGTTGTCCACCAGAGTCCGTTGGAGAGACACTAATGGCAGCCTGCCGAAGGACAGCCCACCGGAGTACTTCCACCTGGCTGTCACCGACAATCCCGGCACGTTCCTGTAACAGCAGCACTTGAAAGACTTTAAGGACACTGTTAGGGAGTAGCTCCACTCTAACACTGTTAGGGTTCATGGTGAGATAATTTCTTCATCATTTGGGTGCTCTTTCTCACCAGGTCACTTTCCCCCACGGTTTGATTTGGTTAGAAGAGCATCAGCTTCACCTTTTTCTTGTAAGATCCTCCAAGCTGGGGGAAATATTTCACTCCAAAGACGCATTTGTAGAATACGGTTAACTATTTTTTCTGGATTGTGCCAATGCTTAGCATGCAATTCATGTTGTAATTATGCTTGAGCTTCATGTAATCAGAGAAACTAAAGTCACTTTTCTGCAAAGAAATGTGGAAAAAGTGAAGACAGAGAATGTATTTTTATGTTTACTTTTAATATGTAATTCCTTTATGTTGCTTAGAGGAAACTCATTCATTGCAAAGTGTGACACATTATTTACCATGTAAATAACCTTTATTTGCAGCGAATGAGAGGAACTACATTGTCATGTTAATTTAAAAGCTAAACTTACAGTGGGCACAGTTCCAGTCGGATGTTTACCTAGTCTTCATTTTCATGAATGTATTTTTTTTTTGTAACCCCCCACAAAGCTTTTGGCATAACCCTGAATTATGCTGAATATTCGACCACTCCTTTCAGCAGAATATGCAGATTACAGTTAAACTGGTTGTTTTTTGGCTCTGATAACCAGTGGTGTAGCTGTTTATGCCCCAAGAATGTTAAGGTGGTCCTACTGTACATCTTTCGTTATTGCCTGTAGGGCTGGGTAATTAATTGCATTTAAAATACAATTGCAATTTAGAAAAATGCAACTCTCAAATCGCAGAGACACTCAGGTTTGATCAAGAAACACATTTTTTCTCGCTTTGGTTCTTTTAGTGACAGTAATAGGTTTAAAGTGGGTTTTCTTCCATGAAAAAGAAAAGAAACTTCCAGCTAGCACATAGAGATCTAAGCATGCAAATTGAGGTAAGCACATTTGCAAAATTTACAGTAATGTACTCTGGACAAGCAAGCTAGTAATGGCAAAACCATTCAGCTCTGATTGCATGGACTAAGTGTCAAAAACAGTCCCATGGCATAACACTGCCACCACCATGCTTGACAGTAGGAATAGTGTTTCAAAGCATCACAGGAATCTCCTAAATATATTCCTTCTCATGGAGATCAAATAGGTCAATGTCTGCCTCATCTAACCATAAAGCTTTCTTTCTGGAGGGTTTTGGCTTTTCAACATTTGCATGTGGAAACCTTACAGGTAGAAAGAGTCAATCTTGGAGCACATTCTGGTGGTTGTCCCCTCAGTCTATTGATGTTAGTTTGTTTCTTTGTGGACAGTCACACATGTCTTCAAACAGTTTGCAACTCATAGCAAGCCTAAAGGTTATTGGTTTGTTGTCACCGTTCTTTAATATGGAAGCAGCAATTTAAATATTTTCCTATCCATCCTCAACCCCTTGATGCCTATTGTTGCAAATATGTGACCAACCGTATGTATCACTCATACAGCCAAAATAGCCAGTGCATTCTGCCGTTAGGAGTTATCTCACATCAGTGTGGGCCTAGGAACCTTTGGAAAGCACTTGTTTCTGGTGTGACTGGTCCCTGAAGCTGTATGTTGACCTTGACAGTTATAACGGCTGCCAGATGTTTGCAATATACCATATATCCATTTCTTTCTGCACAGTAGTCAAAGTCACCAGCTCACGTTGGTAACTAAAAGCAAAAAAAGGTTATATCTGCATGCATATAAATTTGGACATTAAGAGGTTAAAAGCTGGTTCAGTTTAACCAAACAAACCAATTTTACTAAACTCTGTCATTTCTGCCAAGAGAAGTGGTTGAATAATCAGCCAGAGTTATATTAGGAGCTTAATGATGGCTCTAAGACATATGTTGCAGTGGTGCAGCTATCTGAGGGTAATTTATTCAAATATTAGTGAGGGTCTATATATATTTGAGCCTAAATGTGTAATTTTGACAATGTGTGGATTAGAGAAAATTCATACCAGAAATAATAAACTTTATCAGTTGCTTCAAAAATGAAGGCATCCAGTTTCAATTTTCCAATCTATGAAAGCATCGCAGAAACAACCAACATCACCATGACAACCATGAGGAGGGCACGAAAATGTCTGCTTTAATCTATAAATGATATAAAAATAAAAACACAGCAACAAAATCACCCATCCACTCCAATATTACATACTGTAAAGTTAACGGAATCTCTCAAACACATTTCACGTAAACTTTTGCTATAAAAGGCCATGCGAGGCCATGTCACGGCAAAACACCGCTACCTTGGTTTTAAACCATTTGCAATGTTCTTGTGCTGATTTATATTTTGTGTTATAATAAATGTAGCAAAAAAAAACTGTTTTATGTTAATGAATGTTTTATTCAAGCTTCAGCAGCTTGAACACTAAAATACATTTTTCAAACATTACAGCAATACAAAAAGTGATATACAGTTTAGATATTATAAAAAAAACATAAGATTAAGGCAATTAACATAAAAATGTTAATAATGTAGGAAAACACAACAGCTCTTTGCTATCAAATCCCCTAAAGCAGTGATTCCCAACCAGAGTACCTCTTACTCCTAGCGGTTTGCAATGGCATTGCAAGGGGTACATGAAAATATTTTATTAAAAAAAAAAAAAATTTTTATTGTAAAAAAAGTAAGTTATTCTTTTTTGCAAGCAGAGGAACAGACTGGATGTACAGAGCAACCTAATATTAGCTGTTTTCCACACTGAGCTATCAGAGCTCATCAAAGCAGCTCAGGTGTCTTGATGAAAACAAAGTAAAACTAATTCAAATCCATCTGACTACATTTTTTCGTATTATTTTGTTCCCATTTTATCAAGTTTAGATGTGATTATAAGGGTGTTACTCTAGATACAGCTTTATGATAGGATTTTATTTTGTATTTATTTCAATTCCTCACTAACTTTCAGGCAACATATTTATGTTGTTTTTTTTATTTGAGATGGAAGGCATAAAAAGCCTAAGAAATAAATGCTCAATGTAAAAGCTTAAGTCAAATAATTCATATTTTATGATTAGTTACTGTACGTTTCACTTTTGGACGATCATCAGTAATTTTGACTGAGAGGGGTACCTACTAAATGCCCAAAGGGATGCATAAGTCAAAAAAGGTTTGGAAACGCTGCCCTAAAGCATCATATTTTACATAAATGCCCAGTGACTGTAAATAGGTTTATAGTCACAGCACTGTTAGCGTACTGTACTAATGCCGCCTATTCAGCTCTACACAGTTTTAGTGGTAACTAAGGCAGTGCCTCCCAGCTCTGTAGCAGGAAGTGGGACTCTGTGGTCTGCCACGCTGCTGCATGAAGGCAGCCCTTCGCTGCCATCCCTACAGCCATCCCTCGCTGCGTCAGGGCAAATGCTGAAGCCGTCCTCCCACTTGGGGTCCATCTGGGTTCCAAGGTGCAACTGATGACAGGATGAGTGTCCGTTCGCCTCTCTTTGAAGGGCCTGACCGTTTCTGTCTGAGTGGGTAGGGTGATACATGGCATTAGCTTCTGCTGTCTGAAGAGTCTCTAGTTCAGGGAGAGGATCCTCTGCAACCCAAAAAAAATTATGGAGTATTTTTACATGCTACATACCGTTCTGAATGCTGGACTGCAAAAACAAACTTCAATGTATTATTTTGGAATGTAAAAAAAACTGTACCGGAACCATAACTGGTATACTTTTTATTTTTTAAATGTCAAAAAACAGAGAAAATACATTTTGTAGTTTTATTTAGCGCCTTTAGTTAATCCTTAGTGGAACCAGATTTCTTATCTTGGATATCACTACCAGCTTTGCATATCTTACATTCTGTCCATTCTCTACAAAGTAGCTTAAGTCAATCACACTAGAGTGAGCGTTCATGCAGACAGGAATTTTTAAGTCATGCCAAAGATACCTAATTACATTTGAACTGGACTTTGACTAGGACTTTTAGAACATGGCCTTGGAGCTCTGGATGTATGTTAATGGTTTTTGAAATCTCTGCAGGGTTTTCCAGAGTTCCTCTTTTGTTCTTAGCTCAACCCATCTGGTCTATTCAGCTTCCATCTCTCTAGTGAAGAACAGCCTTACCACCACAGAATGATGCTACCACTTCCATGTTTCACCATGAGGATGCTGAGTTTGCAGCGTTGGTTTCTCACCACACAATGTTTTGCATGTAGGCCAAAGTAAATCAGTTTTGGTCTGTCACAAAACTTTTCTACAAAAGCAAGATTTCTGGAGTTCACCACTAGTTATTCTGTCCACAGTTTCACTCCTCAGTAATGCATGACCCATTGTAACTTTGCAGCTCCTGCAAGTTACCACTTCTGAGATTCATCAATTGCTTAAGGTGTATTTCCTTGTGTTTGTAGGTTTACAGCTGTGTTTCACCATTCTGAAGATGGACTGGACAGTTCTCTCTTAATTGTTCTGGACTTGAATATTGTGGGTTTTTTCCCCTAACCCTGCTTTAAACTCCCTCTCAACTTTCTTCCTTAGCTTTCAGTTGTGTTCTTTGGTCTTCATGTTTTTTAATGACTGACGTCTCCCCAGACCAGCTCTTATTATACTGAGATTAAATAAGTGGATAAACTAAGTGGATTCTACTGTATGTACTACCTACTAGCTGCTCAGAACTCTATCTTTAGGTCAAAAAGTAAGAGGACTGAATACAAAAGCACAACTAACTTTCAGGTTCATAACATTCTTGCAGGATACCTTAAATATATATCTTTTTCCACTCCATAACCTGAGCCAAATGTTACATATACTTTACAGATGCTGAAGGGCTGAATGCATTTTTCTGCATTCCTGTTTGTCTCATGAAGAAAGCTGTTGAGCAACAGTTTATTCAGTGAGGACAAAAGGATGCTGTATTTGATAGACTGTCTTCTATCTGCTTTCTTGCCATTTCTGGATCATTCAATTAAGCCCACAATTTTATCATACGGTGCCAGATTTGGATGTTTGTGGAATTCTGCAGCTGCTGACTAAGTCACATGAGAGACGCTTTCCTTGTACAGCTGCATTCGTTTGCCCAGATATGCAGACTTTAACCGACTTTTTGCATGCAAGATGGTCTCTCCTTGTAAAATAACTTACATATAGTGAGGGGCCCTAATTTGCCCTGCTGCAAGCAACGGATGTGTGCTGAAACCAGAATAGATTGTAAGGCAGCGCTGCTGACCCATGGGACGCCTCACCAGAACAGACTGTGGAGTTTCTACTATGACGAGCGTCACACTTCATCACCTGCCTGCTTGCCATCTTGTTTCCTCCAGTAGATTCTGAGACCGATACTTAGACCCCTCCCCCCTTGACCTGAAATAAGTTATTGAAAAATATGTGCTGCTAATTAAAAATGCTTTCTAATTTACACATCTACTACTAAAATACAAAAACATATATGTATTTTCTTTACATAATTTAATGTGACACTCTCTTTTAGTAGACTTAATCCATCTTGTGCTGACATTAAACATTTTTTTAAATAATTTTATCTGTTTATTCATTAAAATAAATTTAGGGTTTTCTGTTTATTACCTAATTAGATAAACCATTAGTATTAGAGCTTACCAGTGGCTCCACGGGATTTGGCCTGCCGTCTGAAAATGACAAACCAAAGGGTCAGAGCGAGGATGGATCCCAGGGTGACCACCATCACAGGGATCCAAATTGCCTGACTCAGCACCGACATGTCTGGTGAAACGGTTGACTTGGTGGGGCTGATCTTTGCTGTGAGTGGATCCGGGACAGTCAGGACAGGCTCTGAGGAGATCATGTCACATGTCAAGCATTTCACTTGAGAAGTACAGGATACAAAACAATAAAGGTTCAATGTGACTTACCTGTCGGTGGGTGAAGCTTACGGGTGGGTATACAGGTCTGGAGGAGGTTGTCCCATGACTTTCCCTTTGCACACTTCCTATCAGCCATGCCTGCAGCAGGGTAAGAGAACTGCCGCGCTGTACTCCTGTGAACTAGTGACCGAAAAAAACAAAAAAAAAATCAGAGAAGGCAAATAGATGCAGGAGGGAGATGTGATGAGAGGATTTGTGAAATGAATATAGAAGTCCTAAAAGGTTTCAGTTCCTCCATTTGGTAGGAAAGAGTGAATCACCTCATGTGTCCCCTGGGGAGCAGAGACAGCATGTCGTTAAATATATCAGCCATGTTCTCCCCATGAAACATCTATAAAGAATGGTAACAGAGGCCATTGCATGCTCTGCTATTTTGTTTGTATATTTAAGTTTAACTGCAACAGATTACAGTACAATATATAAAGGATTACAAAGGATATTCATACCAAAGTAATTCTAAAGTTATTTTTTGAATACAAAATGAAATAACCTGGAATAGTCTGCAGGATTTATTTTAGTTGCTATGGTTTTTCAGTCTCCTGGTACTTTTTTACAGTTATTTGTCTCCAATATTTCTTAATATTCTGTCCAGTGGTTATTTCTCTGGTATGAGCTTTACATCAGTCCTTTTTCCCCCTATTTCTGCCCTGCAATTAGCCATTCTTTCTTAGTTCCCTTTAGTTGACTCATCCTTCCTTACAGCTGGGTTAAGTGATGGGGTGGAGTAATCTTAAGGAAAATAGGGCAAAGTTTAGTTTCAGAGGGCCTGGCTTTCCTTCGATGACTACTCTGCAGACATTTATAATTAAAACAGTAAATGAAAATGTGCTGCCCATGCACTGAGGCATTGGTCCTTGACGCAGCCATTACAGGTTCAAGTCTGTTGACCTTTTCTACATGTCTTCCTCCTCCTACTGTATTTTCAAAATTAGATGGTAGCTGTTAGATGTTAAGAATGTGGTAGTGCTACCTTTATTAGTTTAACTATGCTTGATTGCAGTTCAGAAGAGGAGAGATGTTAGACTGGAGCTCAGATAGATTAAAATTCAATGTTTATTTGTTGCAAATAGTCACTGGGGTCTGCTCTACTACACTGTTGGTAGTTTAATATCCCTGACTAGTGGAGAACTGAATAAATAAGTTATTTCCACATTGATTCATCTGCTCGGATGTGTATTGATTTAGAGCACCGTGTATGCACATGCAGAATCATAAACACATCCATAAAGTTATTTTCCAAAGTACACATCCTCAACGGAGCATGGATTCAGTTAGGAAGTTACCACATTTCTTAACTCAACCTGTTTTTTTGTAGAATAAAAAACATCTGTAGCGACCGTAGCATTAGATTGGGTTAGTATTTTGAACCTTGTCTTACAAGATAGTATGCATGTATAAGAAGCATTGTGATCACCATCAGTAAAACTCTGTAAGACAGTAAATGTTAGTTTATTAGAAACTCATGGCTGAAGATGGGAGAATCAAATAAATGAGTTATGGTACCTTCTTTCCTCTGGATGTGCATTGTCTGATGAAAACATGCAGTGTTCTTCACTAAGGCTCACTAGCACTGGACTGATGTCACAACACCTACTTAAAAATAAATTAGACTTTAACATATTAAACCCAGCTAATAAGAACACACAGTAACTGAAACAACAAATGTTTGGGGTAGTTAACATAAAGTGTGACTACACTTCTGATTTATTACAAACACATTTCAGACTAGCAAAGCTGGTTACCCTCCAGTCTCTGAGTTGCCCTGCAGCTGGATTCGAATCTCCGCCCATTGTGTTTCTGGATGGAGTTTTTATGTTCTTCTTGCATGTTGGTTCTCTCCAGGTACTCCAGCTTCCTCCCAAAGTGTATCCCCTGCATTATTGTCTGTGCTTTGTATGTGTGTGATGCTCTGTAACAGAGAGTGTGGCGCCACTAGGGGAAGGCCACTGGTGGCCACAGCCGACTTATGCAATGCCCTGGCCACCCCACTCCAACCCAATCGCCAGTGTAAATTGTATTAGTATCAGTTAGCATTTCATCCCATTATGCACAGCCAGCAACATGACATTAAAAATCACACAATAAACCAAGATATGAGGAGGTGTTTACTTAACTCTTTATGATTTTTACAGGCAGGTTTACCACAATAGTAGATTCAAACCCTGAAATTATGGCTTTCAGTTTCAGTGTGCCACCCCAAGATTTTTAGTGGCCCCTTCTGGCCCCCTATGAAACCTTTCTGACCGCGCCACTGAATGGAGAGGCCCAATGACCACTGGAGATTGGCAACATCATGAGTCTAAAAGAATAAATAGATCCAGAAATTGGACGGATGTAGGGTATTTCTGACTGAATGGAGGTAATGTTTTGGCTGAACTAGTTCCTCCTATCAGTCAACTGGCTTCTGGGTTCTCATTATGTTTCTACTAGGCACACGAATAAAGAATGAAGAACTTTGAGTTTCTAGAAGCAAAGCAAGTAGGGCTGGAGTAGCAGTCAAGAGGGGTTATCTGGGACTGGCTGGGAGTCCCACTGGTCTTCCATACCAGCTGCAGAAAGACTGGGTTGCTGGTGAGAAAAACAAAAAAATGGAGGAAAGCAGAAGGAGGAAAAAAAACTTGGTCCCAACATAAGCAGGTAGTAGGCAAACATTATGAAGTTATAATATAAAGTAAAGGAAGAAAGGTTCTCACTAAAATAAAGGAGAGAAAATATATACAGTATATTTAAAAAAAAATTTTTTCAACCTTTCAAAGTAAAAAAGGTGAGATCTTACAAAGGATTAAAACAAAAATCTCATGAAGTAAAACCTTACAAAATAAAACTTATTTTAGAGATTCACACACAAGGAAAAGTAGCAGTTAGGGAGATTTATTGATGTATCTGACAGTTCTTTGGCACTCAGACCTGGCAGAAGAAGCGTAAGCTGCGAATGGATCTTCCAGAATGGTTGGCTGAGGAAAGAGGAGGACTTGAAGGTGATTGGTTGGAGAAGAGGCACATGACGCATCACCTGCAGGTGATGCTGGGTGAGCCTTCCAGTTTAAATTTGCGTCCGAAGTTCATGACAGCTAAAACCAGCAGCATATATTGTCAGACAAAGTCGTGTTGGATTTGAAAGAATCTGTAAATGAAATTCCCAAGCAGACCTTCGGCTTAGATTTTATTTTTAAATGATACGCTGGAAAAATCAGCCATATTAGATTCAATAGATTGAACAGGCAGCATGGTATTTCTGTATAAAGGTCTCCTAGGAAGAAATCCCAGTCATGACTGATTAGATCATTTCTTTAAACTTGCTTGTTGTGTTTTTGTGTTGCCCTGTGATGGATCTGTGTACCCCTAAAACTGCAGAGAGCCAGCCCCTCATAATAAAATAGATTAATCAATGAGTGGAAACATTATAAACACTGTGCTTAAACACAGAAACTGAAGGACGCTGGTAAAAATGTAAAACTTTAATAAAAAGCAAACAACAATAATAATGATTCACATTTTCCAGCAAAACACAGAGGCTTAGAGAAAAACCAACCTGACGGTACATGATTTAAAGAAGGAATCAACAATTGCACTGTTTAGTTAATGATTAGGAAGATAGTGTCTGCATGCATCATGACTTTCAAAAGTTTAAAAAGTAACATAGTGCTTTGGCATTTTTAAAATCATTAAAGTTGCTGTCAGTGTTCAAGGCACCAAAAGAAACGCGCTTCTCTGTTCGTAAACACATAATAAAGTTCACCCTGAGAGGAGAAGTGATAGAAACATTCTGATTGGAAAGATTTTTGGAAAGTTAAACATTGTTCATGACGCTCAGTCGATTAAAAAACACAAAACTCCTCACAGAGGCCTCCTTTCTTTGTCTCTCTGTAACGACATACAGCTCATGGCTCAAAGAGCAGCGGCTGCATCCTGACAAAGGTAAAGTTGTAGAACTGCGGCAGGCCCTGGTGTTTGATGCTGCTGAATTGATCCCACATGAATGGAGGGAGTCCATCCTGCGTCGTCGGACCGTTCACTGCCTCTGCCACAAAGTCACCCGCCATTTTGAAATCTGTCACCTGGATGGAAAGCAAAACACAATTTAGTTCAGATCAGAATGGATAAAAATATCTTCATAAAAAAAAGCATTTCTGCATTAAATCATGTTGGTGATTAGGTCTTACTTTAGTGTCATAGCAGCCCCCTGGTGAGGGGTGCTCTGATTTCAGGTCGTTACGGCAGCAAATGGTTTTGCACGGGTTGCCCGCAGAATATGGATCATTCTTGTAGTCTGGAAAAAAAGAAAACAATACAAATAACCTTTTTTTTACCGCCATTTAATTTTAGCACATCACAACAACTTTTAAGACGGGTGTATAGATTTTAAGGGCCACTTAGAATAACGGACACTAATGCTACAAATTGACATTAACTAACCCACCATTGAACCTCATGATGTGTTTCAATGAGTCCAGGTCCTTCACATCAGCCTGATCGCGGCGGAAGATCTTGGCTCTGGGGCAGAGGTCGTAGGAGAAGTCCTCTCCATACTCCTCCCACATTTCCCCATATCCGCTCATGATGTAGATGTTCCGGTGGAAGGGAATGTTGTAAGATGGCCAGTGACCTGCATCGAGCAAAGGCAGAAGAAGAACCATATGTAAGACAGATCTGTGAGACGAGTGGTGTCAGTTAAGAAGCAGGATCAGAGGACGTGTTACCTCTGCGCAGAGCCTGTGTCTGGTCAGAGTACTCCACAAAGCCTGGGATCTGCTCCACCACGGTCAGAGCTCCGTCATCGATGGTGTGACCCAGCTTTACTTTGCTCCTATCCAGAACCATGTACTGGTTGTTGTAGGTGCCTACAATGGTGGTAAAATGCACTTTAATATTAAATGCTTAGAGGCTCTTTTTTCCCTTAGAAATATAAAATAGTGTTTATAAAAGTAACTGACCAGAGTTGTATTTGGAGAAGGTTTTGGCCCATTCTTCTCCTGTGTGAGCCAGGCTGTTGGCCAGCCTGACCCTCTGCCACGCCAGCAGGCTGTTTGGGGTGATGTTGTCAAATAGGGAGGAATTGAAGACATTGTTGGTGGTCTGGGTCATCATCAAACCACTGCCCAGGAGGTAGAAATCATCCAGAGACACAAGAAAACCTGGAGAAACACATTTATACTGGATTTATCAGCTAGAAGAGAAGAGATGACCAGAGACTCTCCTGGGCGTTCACTAACCTGGGTAGCTGCTGAAGGACAGCTTCCCAGTGGCTGTGTGGGGCTCAGAGATGTGGAAATCCCAGTGCTTGTAGATGCGCATGGTGGCAGCATAGGTGTACCAGCTGGAGTGGGCAAACAGGAGGTTCTCATAGCCCGGAAGCATCTATGGAGGACGTCATCAAACAGTTGTGGAGATAAAGGATAAAAAAAAAAAAAAAAACATTTTTATCCCTCATTTGTTTGTTGCTGTTTGGTTTGTCTCGATACTAAACTTTTAAAATGATAAAGACACTGAGAAGCTTTTCTATCAAGACCATTTTTTAATAACACAACAATAAAAAATTATCAATAATTTAAGGCAAATTAAAATATTGTTTTTTAGTTATCATCATGGAGTATTCTATCTAAACGGAATCACAGGTGCTACTTAAAAAAGTGTGCAAACAAATGCAAAATAAATAACCCAAATATAACACACTATGACAATATATGAAGTTTGTCTGAGGTATTCTCCTTTTAATGAGCAAATAGTTCATAAATCTATAATTTACAATTGAAAAATATCCAAACAACAGTTGTCTTTATTATCGATAACATGCCAAATTAGTATTAAATATAACACATAAAACCTTTTTAGTGACATTTATGAAAACCTTAGTTTCTCTAAGTTATATTTTCATACTAGAGTACATTTCAGAATGCACCATCATACAGTAGCAGCCATTCAAAATGCCCCTTCCCAATCAAATGCCAGGCAAATGGCAGCTAACTTCCCTGCAACTCCCAGCAAAATCCACTCCAACTTCCAGCCACTGGAGTGACCCCCTCCTTCTCCTGGGCGTGCATATTTTTTTAACTCTGACTCCACCCTTTCACTGAATTATAGGGTCTGACCAGGAGATGATGCTTCATTTTAGATCTTAATGTCCACAAATCATGACAGAAAAAAATATTTTAGTAGAAAGATTGATGTTTAAAAAGAAATCATAGGGAACCAGCCAGGAACCAGCCAAGGGCCCATCAAGGAAAGTGGGGAATCTTTTCCACTGGACTAAAACTGCACAGTGACCACAAAAATCAGCCTGAGTGAGGGAGATCTTCACAGCATTCTATAAGAATTTCCTAAGATGCAGCAAGAAAGTAGTTTACTTTCATCAGTTGTGATGAAAGATTATATTTAATTCTTTTTAAGACGGAAAAAAAGCTGGTGGGATCATTAGAGTAGTACATCAGGGTACATCTGGGCATAGCATGAAAAAGCTTCATCATAGAAGTAACAGCTCATCCAAAATACTAAGTCTCAACACATCTCTATGGATTGATCTTTGCAAATTTTTTAACCAGGATGGATTATAATGGTCTGATGAGAAGGCATCATGGCGCTTTATGCAATTTGCTGTCTCACTCTTTTTCTGCTCTCCAGCTGCTGCTCCATCTGATGGGCAGTGGATCTGCCCAAATGGTCGGCAAATTGAAATCTCCACACTAATTAACCATTACGTAACCGGCTCTTTATTTCATTAGTAAGAAATGATCAGCTTTCATTTGATAAACAGAAATATTGTTTGGTTGGGTTTTGTTATATTTGATCAGATCCAATCAAAAGCAGCATGAACTACCATGAAGAGTCTGACTGAGTGAAAAAGGGCTCCATTATATTAGACACACTTCCAGTCAAGGTCG